ATTCCGATGATATTTCGTGTGTCTACAAATGATCAGTCTTTTCCTTTTTATAGCTATTTCTAAGATATACGTTTTGCCTCTGTCATAATAAGGCTATTATAGACAATTAAAGGTATTTAATATTTCGTTACAATGACAATCATTATAATTCAATACAGATTTTCTAACGTCTTCAGTATTTAATGCTTATTAAATACTGTATCCTTTCTCTCTTATGCTGTCAGATTCATTCTCCTTAAATCTTGGACTTAAATAGGTACGAGCACCGAGTCTTTTGATTATCTACTCGTGTCTCTGCTCGTACCTTTGCTCGTATCTGTTGCAACTCGTGCCTCTTTGCTAATCATCATTCTTTGTCCAGCATACGTGTCATGATATGTCATCTTTCAATTGCTTCAATATATATAAACTCAATTTTTCCCAATACAAAATAGCCACTATTTTGCTGCAACAGGGACCGGTCCAACATAATATACTGGAGATTGGTGCACCTGTATATGAACTTCCAGCATATTATGCTGGAACTCCAACACGCGAAAAGTTCCAGCATAATATACTGGAGATTGGAGCACATGTCCAGCATATTATGCTGGATCGGTATATTATACTGGAACTCCAGTATATTATGCTGGAGTTCCAGTATACTTATGCTGGAACTCCATTATAATATGCTGGAGTTCTAGTATACTTATGCTGGAACTCCAGTATAATATACTGGAGTATTTTTCGGATTTTGAACAGTGTTTTCGTTCAGATTTATCTTTACATGAAAAGTGGCCAAATTTCGATTACTTTTGAAACTGTGGCTATTTTTGAATGACCACTTGTAAATCTGGCTATTTTTGAATTTCAGTCAGACCCGCTAAACTTGACTATGGGCCTACTTTATCAGATCGATGTACTGGGCTTACAACTTCATTTTTGGTTAAAATAGCACGGGCTAGCCAGTTTTCGGAGTGGTCATTCAATAGCCAGTGTTTACAAAGTCATTGAAAAATAGCCACTATTTTGCTGCAACAGGGACCGGTCCAGCATAATATACTCGAGATCGGTGCACCTGTGTATGAACTTCTAGCATATTATGCTGGAACTCCAACACGCTAAAAGTTCCAGCATAATATACTGGAAATTGGAGCACCTGTGTGTGAACTTCCAGCATATTATACTGGACCAGTATATTATACTGGAACTCCAGTATATTATGCTGGAGTATTTTTCGGAATTTGAACAGCGTTTTCGTTCAGATTTATCTTTACATGAAAAGTGGCTAAATTTCGATTACTTTTAAAATTGTGGCTATTTTAAATGAACAATTATAAATCTGGCTATTTTAGAATTTCTCCATCATTTTTGGGCTCTTGAGTCTTTTCGTTATGGGATTTTATACAAATAGACGGTTGAATTCATCTTTTATTTTCTAACCAATATACATAGATCATTCACTGATAAATACGATTGTACACATATTATACATGAATTATAAACATATTATACATTCACCAACTGTTTCGCTGAGATCTTTATACAAATAGCCAGTTGTTATCAATCTCTTAATATGGAACCTTGATCCATTAGCTTATAATATAAATATAAGGGAAATTTATATAGTGTGGCCTCCCCCAAAATTACGTATTCTTTGTATATTAATGTATAATATACATGTTTTAACATATATAGTCTAGTCGTCTCTTTTCATCAAAACTTGGGGTGTCTAACGACACTTTGGAAGTCCAGCAACATGGCAACAGGCATTTGTTTTCCAAAAGTTGAATTTTTTTCTTCAAATTATTCTGTCAACAAACACCATTTCTTTGCACCAGGGTTCTATGTTAGTCCATACTTACATATTTACGTAGCTATGAGTCAGCTGACTAAATGGTATATTGGATGATATTCTATGGTGCATATTATTTTCAAATGAAACTATGGAGATGTATTCCAGAAAATAACGGTTAGATCCAACATATTCAAGTCATGAAATTTTGAGTGTTAAGATGAATGTACAATAGCCCACAGATAGGATATAATGAGAGAAGATGGTCTAAGATGGTTTAATAATATCCTATATAGATCTTCAAATGAAATAGTCCACACGTACAACAATATGATGATTGACGGTGTTAAACGTAAATGAGGTAAACCCAAAATTACATGAAGAGAATTTATCTCAAAAGGCGTACAAAATCTTTTAGCTAAGAATATCATCATTAATTTTCAAGAGATTGTAGGTCTAGTCGGACAAATTTCCTCCATGTGTTATTATAAAACCAAAAACAATAAATTAAAAGAAAAAGTAGCAAGACCATAATGTGTATTAACCAATTATTCACAACCCGACACAAAGAAAAGCAAAAGAGCAAAAGTTTGATATTGAAAGAAAGGGACAAACACAAATGCAATGAACAGACAATGCAGTGCAATTATTGAAAATGAATGCAGCTTTAAGAATGACCTAGCCGCCACTAACATGTCCAATTTCCCTAGATTCTTGCACAATGAATGCTGGCCATACATCAAGTAGCTTCTAGAAGCCGGACAGATCTACGGAAAAAAATTTTTACTTGCACCCGATGTTTATACAAAACAAATGAATACAATACATGCGTCTAAGTACCTCTTGGTTGTGGCACAATGGCCCATCTCATATCCTTAAACTCCCAAGAGATACCCTTGGAGAGGTCCAAATTCACATAAATATTCAATATTCAACCCTTTTGTATCAAAGAACATAAGCCACCATTTTTTTGTTTTAAAATAACGAAGGTGTCCAGACCAGCTTATGCGCACTTAAACTAATTCTACGGTGGACCTGCTACTTCCCACCAGCACAAAATATAAAGCGACCATCTCCGTCCAAGCTCTTATATAAACATAGAAGGAAACCATCTCTTATATGCCTGCACCTCCTTTGGTGCTATATTAATAATACACTTACCTTTCTCAAACAAGGCAACCATCTCCTATACCAAAATGGGGGTAGAAGAACACCCAAAGCTACATGCAGTAATGATACCACTTCCTCTTCAAGGCCATATAAATCCATTCACCCATCTTGCCATGAAGCTTGCTTCAAAAGGTTTTACCATCACATTTGTCAACACAGAATCAACTCACCAGCACATAGCTAGAGCTCAGTCACTTAAAGATGACGACAATAACCCTTTCTCCGATGCACAGAAATCCGGTCTTGACATTCGTTATGCCAAAATTAGTGATGGTTTCCCACTGAGTTTTGAAAGGAGGGCCAAAGCAGGCCAATTTGTGGAAGGTCTTATTCATGTTTTCGAAGCTCATGTGGATGACTTCATTGAAAATCTAATCCATTCGAAACCAGACCCGCCCATTTCGTGTATAATAGCTGACAGTTTCCACGTATGGGCATCAACGATTGCCAAAATATATAATCTCGTCAATGTTTCACTCTGGACTGAACCAGCAACAGTGCTTACTATCTACTACCACATGGACCTGCTCAAGAGTAAAGGCCATTTCGGATGTCATGGTAAGAACTCCATATCTTGAAGCTATTAGTACTGTCTATTCAGTGACTACAATACATAATCAATTTATTTTTTATAACCGTGGTGTCCGGGCCAGCTTATGCGCACCTCGACTAATTCGATTGGATACCTGTTACCTCCCGCCAACAACAGGTACCAAGTACCTCTGTTCACCAAGGCTTGGACAAATAGGAAGAAACCACCTAGTGTTTTTGTTTCTGCTGGGATTTGAACCTAAGACCTCATGGTTCTCGGCCCACTTCATTGACCATATGCCACACCCTTGGCTACATTACATTATCAATTAGCTAATGAGTAATCATTTTGTCCAGATAAGTGTGAAGACACAATTAGATACATACCAGGAGTCCAAGCCATTGAACCAGCAGATTTACCTTCATATTGTCAAGATCCTGATTCAAGCACCGTGATGCCTCGTTTTGTTTTCAAGTGTCTTGAAGATGCACAGAAAGCAGATTTTGTCCTCTGCAACACAGTGCAAGAGTTAGAGCCTTCAGCTATCTCAGCCATACAAGAGAAGCAGCCATTCTACGCAATTGGGCCGGTCTTCCCTGCAAGCTTTACAAAGAGAACAATTGCAACAGGCCTGCTGCCAGAGTCAGATTACACCGACTGGCTCAATAGCAAACAAGATGGTACGGTGTTATACATCTCATTTGGTAGTCTTGCTAATATGAGTAAACAGGATATTCTGGAAATAGCACAGGGCATTTTAATAAGTAAGGTGAGTTTCATTTGGGTGCTACGTCACAATATCCTAGGTTCTGGAGAAAGAAACATTTTGCCTCGTAGATTTGAGGAAGAAACTGTAGGTAGAGGACTGGTTGTGCCGTGGTGCTCTCAACTAGCAGTACTATCACATCCAGCAGTTGGAGGGTTTTTGACTCATTGTGGGTGGAATTCAATCTTGGAAAGCATATGGTGTAAAGTTCCAATGGTGTGTGTTCCTATTTTAACAGATCAATTTACTAATAGGAAATTAGTGGTCAATGATTGGAGGATTGGTGTGAATCTTTGCACTGGAAGATTAATCAGGAGGGAAGAAGTAGCGGAGAATATTGGAAGGATAATGAGTAAATCAGATGATTTGAGGAAGAATATAGAGAAAACAAAGATGGTCCTTCAGAATGCACTGTCTGATGAGGGATCTTCGAAGAAGAATCTCAACCAATTCATAGAAGAAATGAAGAACAAGATTCTTCAGAAAAAATGAGATGGCTCACAAGAGACACATTCTCACTTACCAATTATGGTTCTGCAAAGCCAGAACTTAGCAAGTTATGTATTAGTTCTATAAAAATTGTTATGCCATGAATAATGACACGGCATACAACAATTACTACGCCTTAAGCTAGTTGGATCAGCTATATGAATCCTCAAAACTTTTACTGCGACCAATTGAATTGATGGCATGAGAAAAAAAAGAGCTCAGCAGATACATTTTTCTTTTTTTTTTTTTGTGCTCAGCAGATACATTCATACCATAAAAATAGCATGTCAATATCCTCTATATCCCAAGTTTGAATGTCTAATAATGACAAGGTGAAAAAAGTGCATTTGACAAAACAAATCTTTTACTTCCGGTCTTCATGTTGACTTACTTTTCACAATTAAATTCTCCAGGACATGAACAACAATAGTTCGCCCTTGGGAAGCTTCCCAAACCAAACTGCACCATAATGTAACCTGGCCTTAAAACAGCCCCAAGCTTAAGATAACACACAGCCGAAGTCAACAGAAACAATATCACCATCTTGTTAAACTTTTGTTCATCCTTTTCTGTATCTCATCTTACAACCGCAACACCACTTCATATGTTTCACGAGACAAAGTGCCTCTCTGCATGCATAGCTAGAAAGGACTGAAACTTTCATTCATCAAAGGAATCTCAGGCACTGACATTGTACACTCAAGTATTCTACTTCTATGCATCATTGATTTAGCTCGTTGGAGGACGACTTAAGAGTCAAAAACAACCCATGTTTATCTCTTTTTCAGTTTGTTAAGCTCATGGAACATTAATGTGTCTGCTTGAAAGATCATTTTTCCCATTAAAACCACAGGGTTATGAACCTACATAGACATGCGGCTTCTGGAACTTCCCATGAATCCACACTCTTCGCATGATCTTCCCATTCCGCCGATTCACTGACTGGACACAGCAATATTCAAGCTCAAGCTGCAAAAACGTTCATAAATATGTTAAAGCTTATTGGTAATGGAACCAAAATACCTGTCTGTAGTTCCACAAAGTAGCCAACGGGAAGTAATACCTCAGTGAATCCTGTGCCACAGAAGAGATCTCTTACACTATCTAAGCAAAAGAAATAAGACCTTGTTCCATCAGAACGCATGTACTCCCTGTATCCTACTCTTTGCTCCGGCTCGAAACGAAGCATGGTCATATCATAAAGACCTGAGTTTCACACTTCCCGAATTCAGATACAAATTTTACAGATTACCAAAAGATACATTGCCAATGTTCTGCAAGTAATGTCTAATATTTAGGTCAGGTTATTACCGTAATCCCTGAATAACAACACGCCTCCGGGCTTTAGAACAGAGAAGCATTCTGCGATTGCTCTTGACATCCTGTGAAGTGGCACTGCTGATAGCGTAAATATCTGGAAATTACAAATGAAATAACCATCTACTTAGACATTTGGTGAAATCAACACAGTTGTGAATAAAAACGAGCCCTGATTTTTTTTTAAATAATTAAATTAAAACAAAAGCGAGCCCTGATCAGAGACATAATTAAGAATGTACATACTAGGGTAACAAAATCTACTCCCCTAATGCAGCTATCATTCTTTGCAGATATCGGTGGATCAGGGAAATCTTGCTTACTGCAGATTTTTGCATCTGCATGAGCAAAACACGTCCATTTAAAAAACCACCTCTTTGCTGTACCAGCAGAGAATGATAGATCATATCAAATAAAATGCAGAAGAACTGGTACATTTGCTAACCTAAGGAGCGCATATTCTGCTTCCGAGAGAAACTTTCACAGCAATAAGTGCAGACTAACCAGTTTGGAAATCCACTCACAGAGAAATCACATTGGAATGGGTAAAACCGTTCTTTAGCCAAGATTATATTAGCAGCTTCAATATTCTCTTTAGCCCTCTCAAGAGCCTCTTTGCTGCAGTCACAGGCATACAGAGAGATGCTCTTGTTTCCACTGCAAGAGATAAGCAAAGTTTCAGCAATGAGATCAGGATAATGCGATTCTCAATCTTCACATAGAACATTGAAATTCAATATTAACAAATGAACAAGTAGGTCAGCCTTACTATCACGAAGAGATGAAGCAAGATGAAATTGGATAAACCTAATCTTAATTTAGAGAAAGAAAGAAGATTCGCCAACATTGCTCTTAAATAAGGTAAAGTAAATACATCATCACCAAACGAACACAGCTCTGATTTCGTGTTACTTATCTCTAGTCAGCAGTGTTGTTTCTAGGTGAGGTTGAATAGGAAGTAAAGACTCTACTATATACTCATCCATTTGAGCATGGATGCCTCATATATCGTGTTTGGACCTAAATTTTGTGGCTACTTCCAAGAAAATTAAAGAATAATATGGTCAACTTAGGAATAGCTCCACTCAAGATAATCAATTATGGGATATCAAAATATCAATGAACAAGAAACTATCATAGAACTAGTGGCTTATAATTATGCACCTTAAACAAAGAGAGTTTTGCCACTTCCTCAGACTAAAAATGCTTAAACAAATAAGTCACTCAAAGCAAGGAAACATCTTCCTCACCGTAATATAGGCAGAGCTGTACTACCATTTCCACATCCGACCTCCAAAACTGTCGAGCATTCCCCGCAAGAGGCTAGCTCAGGGAATTCCTTAAGCAAGTACCGCCGCTCCTACATGGAAGAAATTATGTTTAAGAAAGAACATAAAGTGGAATATATGTTTTTCAAACAGTTAACGGAAACGCTTATGCATGCTGTACTGCCAATCAGGTCAACACAAGAGTACCAAAATACGCAACCAAAACAAATAGCAAAACAACAAGCAGATGATGACTACTTGTCTTGAAAGACAATAACATAAAGATGTCATTTGAAGAAAAATAAATGAGTTTAGAAGAAGAGAAGAATAGCCAAAGCAGTACCAGTTAGAGAATGCCCCAGCTCTCATTCTAGTTGAGATGAGAAAAATAATCCTTTTATTTTCTTTTTCTTTTTCTTTTTGAACAAAAAAGTATCAGTTTAAACTCGCTATATGTTCTTTTTGATAAGGAACTCGCGGTAAGTTCTTATGGAACAAAAGCATAGGAAACATTTTCGTACCAAGTTCTAGTAGTTGAACTGTGGTAGTGGTGACAGAAGAAGCCAATTTTTTTAAACCACACTCCTGTGTTCTATTTAGATTGATTTTGGAAAGAGCAACATTCTTTTTTCCCTTAGCCACCATTTAGTTTCTCACCACTATTGAAGAAAGGATTCCGAAAGATATCTACCAAGTTCAATTCTTTGCCAATTATCTAATACATCAAAACTCCTAGTCCCATAAAAATAGCACTAAACTCGAACCTAAAAATTAGATGTCTTGGACTTTGCACCTAAGGACTTGAGATTGAAACCCTGGTAACTAGCTACAAAAGCTTGCTTCCAATCCTATAGGCCTTGGACCTAATGTGTGTAACTCGTAAGATACCGCAGGAGGCCTCATGGATTAATCTTCATTGCTCAAGTCCAAAGAGGCTCTAGTAAGAGAAAGGGGCGAAATAAAGAGCTTCGTGAGAAGACTTTAGCATATTGTTAACCATGTGAGCGGAGAGCATGCTTTCATTTGAAGTCTGTTGTAGAGAGATTTGGCTATGAAAGAAATGTTCTACAAGAGATACAAAGTCAACCATTCAAGTGTAGCTTGTTGGCCAAGATAGGCAACATCAAACCCTTGATTTGTACACATACTTCGTTTTGTGGACTAGGTCTTTTATATGGTCTAAAACTTTAGATTTGCATCACTGAGTTAAGTTGGCGCCCACAGTCCTAAACCCTTTTAAGAGTGAGAAAAAAGGCACTAGTTCGGTCATTCACACAGCCCCTAGAAGTCATCGGAATGAGCTCTTAATTATTCCTTTGAAGTATGACACTTCCCCTTCTAGTATTTCACTTCCTTAGTCTAGTACGGAGGTCTCATACCTTAGCTTCCTTGTTGTTGTGTCCAGATTTTAGCTTTTAGTATTAGCTTCCTACTACACCTCTTTGTCATTAGTGTTATGTAACACCTCTATTTTATAGCTCCTCAAATCATACCTTTCATGTCATGCCTCATACCATTCCTCTCATATCGCAGCCCCTTGTATCATATTTCTCAAGCCATAGTTTCTCATACCAGAAGAAAATGAAAAGTGTGGTGCATAGTCAGTATAAAAATAAAAGTGTGGAGCTTGGAGCTCCATGGTCGACTTTAGCCACTGTGTTTCAACAATCAACTTCAAAACTACTTCTAAATATTGAAACTTCTTTTAGATATGAAAGTGGTTGCATCAGTTAGTAGCAGAGGTTATAGCTAAGTATCTTTTGTCCACTTGTGGGATCAAATTCATAAGCCAACTCACTTTAACTTTTGTGCTGATTAAACTTAGCTAACAGAGCATACTATGAGCATCATCCAAGGGACAGGTGTTATCTATCTCTAGAAGAACATTCCTACAATCCTACTATAACTCAATTTATGAGGTTCAGATTCCAAACTTTCTTTACCACTGACAAACACTTTTGGCAAATGCACCAATTCGGTTCCCACGTCGATGGCTATTATTGCACATTTAACTAATGATCTGTGACAAAGCAATCACTTTTCTCTTAGAATTACTAAACTTCAAATATTTCAGGAAAATCTCGGCTTTCTGCCACTTCTCTTACGCAAGAGAAACAACCCCATTAATTAAGTGTAAAAACTTAACTATTGATCTTTAACTGTTTAACAAGCTATCATTTCCAATTAAAATTACTAAAGTTCAAATCTTTAAAGAAAATCTCGGCTTTCTGTCACTTCCCTAACTCAAGACATCTAGGGAAATGACAACGGGGAAATGACGATATAACTACTATAATATTAGTGAGCGGGTATATAGGAAATACATCATAACTGCTATAATATTAGTGAGCGGAAATATAGGAAATACACCAATTGGCTTGAGTCGTGCTAGGCACTGCTAAGAAACTATTTCAGCAATGTGAAATGTTTCCCCAAGATTAAACAAGCCTACCTCTATTTATTTAGAGGATACAGGAATCAGCAAAATTAAATAATGCACCAACAAATCTTAAGAAATAATTAGAATAGGAATTTCTTGTAGAAAGAATAAAGGTTTTCTATATTTTCAGTGGCTAGCTATTAAGGAATAATACAACAACCCAGTGAAATCCCACTAGTGGGGTGTAGGGAGGGTAGTATTTACGCAGACCTTACCCCTACCCGAAGGGGTAGAGAGGCTGGTTCCGAAAGACCCTCGGCTCAAGAAGACAAAAGGAAGATTACTAAAGCTTTAGTTGGAAAGCATACTAACCAAAACGTGTAAGAAGGAAAGGAAAGAAAGGAAATGTTTCTGATGATATTTTGGAAGTATAATGTGAGCCTATATATAGGTTTTAAAGAGGGCTAGAAATAAGACAAGTGTATTGCACTCTTGTCCATACATATGCCACTTGTTATTTAGCATGACAATTGGTTAAGTTTCCTTGAAGATATTGCCACATGGACATATGACTTCATGCAAGAAGCCACATGCTAGTCCAAAATATCTTTTGAAATAAATTAATTTATCAACAATTGTAGCTGGTTCTGAGGCTGAGTGGCTAAGAAATTTCTTAGCTAATATTCATTTAATAAAGGACGTATTGCCTCCTGTGTCTATGCATTGTGATTGTCAAGCGACAATAGCTATTGCAAAGAATAAATCTTATAATTGTACTAGTAGACACATGAAATTGAGACATGATGCCATAAAGCAGCTGCTGAGAGATGGAATAATTTTCATTGATTATATGAAGTCAGAAGTTAATTTGGCCAATCCTCTAACTCAACCAGCGGGAAGAAAATTAATTCTTCAAACCTCAAGAGAGATGGGGTTAAGGCCAACATGTTGTCAATAGATCCCATGAACTAGGTTCATATGGGTAATAACAAAAGACACCAAACCTATTGCATTTGGACCATGCAAATCCAGCAAATCTTACTCTCGTATTCCTTACTCTTGCATTCCTAAAATATCTTTTGATGTGGGGGATTGTTGATAAATTAATTTATTTGAAAAGATATATTGGACTAGTATGTGGCGTCTTGCATGAAGTCATATATCCATGTGGAAAGTTGTTGTCATGTTATATAACAAGTGGCATATGTATGGACAAGTGTCCAATACGCTTATCTTATTTCTAGCCCTCTTTAAAACCTATATATAGGCTCGCATTGTACTTCCAAAATATCATCAGATACATTTCCTTTCTTTCCTTTCCTTCTTACACGTTTTGGTTAGTACACTTTCCAACCAAACCCTTAGTAATCTTCTTTAATACAGAGAACCTTTATTCTTTCTTCAAGAAATTCCTATTCTAATTATTTCTTAAGATTTGCTGGTGTATTATTTAATTGTGTTGATTCATGTATCCTCTAAATAAATAGAGGTAGGCTTGTTTAATCATGTATTCTTAGGATAGTGCCTAGCATGATTCAAGTTCCTATATTTTCGCTCAATAATATTATAGTTATGGTGTCTTTCTTATATTTCCGCTCACTAATATTATAGCAGTTATATCGTCATTTCCCCGTTGTCATTTGAGTACAAGACAAACAACCACATTAACAAAGTTTACAAATTTAACCAAGTTAAGAAACAAATTATGCAAATGCAAGATGAGTACAATATCAACAGCAACCAATTTCCATAAAATTATAAAGTTGAAAACTTTCAGGAAAATCATGGCTTTCTGGCAACAAAAAAAACCACATTCATAATGTTTAGAAATTTAACAAAGTTAAGAAACAAAATATACAAATGCAAGCTCAGGATACAATCAACAGAAACAGTGAATAATAGTTACCTTGAAGAATTTTCCAGTGGAATTCTGGCGAGTGTGGAAATTGTTCCATGCTTGAGAATCTTCTGAAGAAGAAAGGGTATGTTGATTTTGGGGAAAAGGAAGCAAGTGGTGGACTAGAGAAGGATCGTTTTCGATCTCGTGCCGAAGTTGGTCCCATTCAAAGTCTTTGCTATAGTAGTTTTCTGCTGTAATTTCTCTTGGTTCCATCATCTCCCCTTGTTTCTCCTCTCTCTCTCTCTCTCTTAATGGTTTATGGATTAGGTGTGAATTGTAATTAAGTCTTTTTGTTTTTTTCTTTTTCTCTTTGACTCTTTCAATATCTATACTTGTAAAAATCCAAATAAAGAGTAATATACTTTAGTGGTGGCAAAATTAATAAAAAGATAATTATCCATTCATATTATCCACTAAAAAATAGGTTGGATAATGAACTTTTTGAAAATGAGCAAAATATTGATAAGATCTGTATTATCAACTTAAAATAATACTTAACGGATAACCGATAAATTTAACTTTTACATTTGCAAAGCCCAAATTGAGGTTTCCTCAAATTTGAAGGACTAAAAATTCTCTCCAAAGTTTATCCACTGATTAACCATTTTTCTTTCTATATTAAATATGGGCATGTTGGACATTTTATACATTTTTGCATTATCCAATGTTTTGACCTGCCCATATCCGGCTCAACCGGCCCGTTTGCCACTCCTATACTGAGGGGAGGGTGATAGGGCTCGTGATAAGGACCATAGAAGAGGCGGGTTAAAGGAAACTTCTGATCATATAAGGGTGTGTTTGGTACGAACGAATATGTTTTCCATGGCTAGAAAATATTTTCCAGGAAAATGGGTGGTTTTATCACTTATTTTCCCTTGTTTGGTTGGTGAGTGAAAAACTTTTTCTCGAAAAATAATTTTTTATACTACTCTCCTCAACCCACCTTCCTCAAAATCCCCATGTTTCTTGTACTCGTTTTGTTGAAATGAAAGAAAATACTTTTACTATATCATGAAAAGAATATACTCATTTTGTTGAAATAAAAAAAAAAAGTACTCTATCTACAACATGAAAAGAAAGTACTATTAATAAATAGTTCTATTTAGGGTGGGTGGTGGGCGAGGTTGGGGTGGGTGGGGTGTGGTCAGGGGAGGAGGTTGGGGTAGGTGAGGGTGGGTTGGTGGACATGAGGAATAAGGCGGAGAAGGTTGAAAAAGAGTTATGGAAAATATTTTTCCTCCTTTTGATAGGGAAAACATTTTCCTCTAATTGGAGTAAAATAAGTTGATGAGGAAAATATTTAAGGCAACCAAACATGGAAAAAATTGAAAAACATTTTCCGTGGTACCAAATACACCCTAAGAGTAAAAAGAGTTAAATTGTTTCCATATATGTAGGTTCGTTTTAGAACAAATTGACAAAGAATTGCATTTGGTTGAAAAGAATCATCGTTTTATCGAACAAAAGTTGAAAAAATATTGGAGAAAGTTTTCAAGCATAAGCCTGCGACATGGATTAATTAAGATGAGAAGAGATCATGTTACAAGTCCTCTTCAAATCAGTAATTGTTTCTTGGGGGAAAAAATGATGGAACCCATACATCTTACATCTTTCACTTCAACATAAAAGCCAAGAACTGAAAATTTGCAAGCTGACCTATATAGTTACATAGTGGAAACTACATGGTTAGGAACAAAAGCTGGTTTCATCTAACAAAGATGTAATGTAATGCTCTATCTCTCTCTCTCTCTATATATATTGGTATGTTTAACGTTGTCCGATCTCTGGCTCCTGCTGTTTTCCAGGACCATTTTGAGGTTTGTTTTCACCATTAGTAGTACTACTACTACTACCTCACAAGCCGTCAACACCGCCCCGTTGAAGGACTCTTTGTAGTTCATCAGCCAAGCCTTGTAAGAGAACAGGTTTCCTTATTAGACCATTCATTCCAACTTGTAGGCATCTTTCCCATACATGTTCCTCTGAACTTGCAGTTAAGGCTATGATCAACGGCCAACTACGGCTGCGAAATTTACGCACTCTCAACGCCACTTCAAATCCATCCATTTCTGGCATTTGAAGATCCAAAATGACAACTTGAAAGGTTGTTAATGAAGGACCTAGAGCACTTAGGCATTGAAAACCAGTTGAAACAGCAGTTACTTGGCAACCAAGTTTTTCGAGCAGCTTTCTTGTTACCAGTCTATTTACATCATCGTCGTCAGTGAGGAGTACATTTAGGCCTCTGAACATTGTGCTGGAAATCGGTTGCTCCAAAGGATTTCTATATTCAAACATGCGTTTCCTAAAAGACGACTGTTTTTGAAATCTGAGGATAAGAGTCATCCCTTGTGCGTGGCCCTGGGCGTTCGAAGACATCCATATATTTCCCTGCATCATCTGGAAATTTTATGCAAAAAGAAATGCAGGTCAGAGTAAGCAATGTGGTGATCCAGTTATTACTTAAATCACATTCACGAGCAACTTACTGCTTCAGATAGCAGAGGTAAGATCCAGAAAGAAAAGAACAAAAAGTATCTTGTCTGGATTATTTATTAGTATCATACGCAACATCTAGAAACTTGTATGCAATGAAAAAAACAAAAATCGAGAGAATATAATCAATTCTAAGGATGAAACCTCATACCAAAGGAGAAAAGGCCCTGTGTTCAGACTAGTTTCAGCCATGGTGGGTGATCGTTAAAAGAAACAAAAAGCACACTACAATTGAAAAACATAGATGATAATTTCAAAATCACATGATCTGTAGTCAGACCGGGAAAAATCAACTTGAACAATCAGTAAATTCAGATATTTCTACAAGGTCACTGAAAGCACTCCTTGATCTTATGACATCCGAAACACTAAATTTCCGAACTTCCAATACTAAAAATTAAAGGTAAACGGCAATACGTGCCCATGCTGTCTGCAGAAGCCCGAGGTTAAAAGGAGTACCAATTGTGCCAGAAGTTATGACACAAAGACAGTGAAGGTTTATCTTAAACCCCAGTCAGGATGAGTAATTTATCATGTGAATATTTAACAGTAGTATACACCATTTCATAGTCAGAGGCTACTACTTTCTCACATTACACATAGACATCGAAAAATTCAGCCCAGAAGCTCAACTAGCGAATATTCTTCTTCAATATTCCTACAAGTAAGGAGTCCCAGTCTATCTCACCCATTAAGGCTCTAAAGCAGCTTGATAGAGCCAGGATTTGAAGCTTATGGGTTCAGGATTCAAGTCAAATTTAAGTTACTGAATTTTAAATTAATAATTTCTACACACTCAATGAATATCTTAAGACAAATACAGGGCTTGGACCAAAGTTACTGGGTTTGGCCGAACCCATAACCTACACACTAGCTCCGCCCCTGAGCAGGTACTATTTACTCAATGCATTTGCTGGAGCTTCTGATAATTTCTGCCAATATTTTCATTAATAGAAGAAATCCTGAACTTTCCCTGCTCATTGTGGAATTAGGTAGGAGACATGAGGTCAAGGCTACAAACCAGCAAAAACCAACCCCTTGGACTTGACTAAATTGAAGCCAACTTCTTTATCTGGATGCTTAAGCACACATCTTTCTTCTCATATACACCCACCCCCACACCCCCACACCCCCACCCCAAAACTAAAAAAACCCTCCCTCCCTCTCACACACAAACATCTGTCGCATGAAGATGTGCAGTTTTGCATATCTATTTAGGTGATTATCTGAATAAAAATGCTTGTGTGTAGTTTCGCATTAGGAACTTAAGTGAAGCTAACTTACATTTAAGCTATTTAAGAGAACTCAGTACTATTCTCTATTCTTACCAGGATAAGAATGGCTTACATGGTATTTTTGGTAGTCGGTTCCAGATCTCTCCTATTTGGCCATTTCAAATTTATTTAGAGGTACAACAAATTTCAGAAGAAACTTCAAAAAAATTTAGTATTCTCGAGTGATGAGGCTTCGACATGTGCATAAACTTTCTCCCTCCAAAATACTTCCACTAGAAGATAAGCACAAAGAGGTCGAATGCCAGCATAATCTGAACATATGGAACATTTGGCAGTTAATATGTACACTTGACATCTCTCCAGCTATTGCAGCGTAGAAACCTCTTAAGCTAATCCTTTTACAGATGAAAAGTAATTAAAGAACCATCTTCCACAGAAGAAGAAGTCCTCAAGCTGCATCTTGTTCTCTGAGATTTCAGCAACCTAGTGGTCAATAAGAAAAAAGGGGACCTAAATTTTCATTAAATCATTCTATCAAATAGTTTAGCAAAAAAAGTGTGAGTTGGAAGCCTTTTCAGCCATCCATTTATAATCATTAACTCCTTCCTCCTTAAAAGAATTTTCTTCCTGAGTCACTGAGTGGGTGATCTTACCAAAAACCTGAACCTCAAGGGAGCAGACCGATCCTTCACATTCAACCAACAACAACAACTACTACGCCTCATCCCAAACAAGCTGGGGTTGGCAATATGAATCCTCATTCCTTTAATTTAGCTCAACTTATATCAGATCCTTCATATTCAACCTTTTTTTTAAGACAGTTTGGCATTTGTTGGCAACCTTCGGAAGACATCAGTCCTCCTCTGACCATTTTATGGAATTTTTTTGAAATTGTCAACTCCTCTGACCATCTTATTTTATGCATTTCCCACTTTAGGATGTTTTAAATGCTTGGCACGCTTCTATCAATCTCCACATTTTATGCACCATTTACAAGTCCCAAATTTTTTAAAAAAAATCTAAAGTTAAGAGTGTGATTTGTATTTTTTAACATCAGATTACTTCCTCACGTACTGACTATACTATGTTCCTCTACCACGATAAATATAGTACACAACTAAGAGTTGCCCCTAAATCTCCAAGCAAAGTCATATTCAATACCAACACACAGACACACATTCCAGCATGTATGAATATCACTACAGGCCATGAACATTACTTCTTATAGATGTTCAAGAACTATAATTATCTACAGATAACTACAAACTAAATCAGGAAAACAACATGTATTCTAACCTGGACAAGCTTTTTGCACATGCTGAAACTCAAGCCCTCCGTTACCTCCTTGCTATTATGCCTACTTCCACCAAAGTGAATGGTGGAGATTGAACTATCTGATTGAGTGCCTTCAAGACGAACCTCAATTTCAAATTTTATAGTCACATATTCATCTGTCACGTTTGCTCTTCTTGTTCCCCAAACTTTGTCATTCCCACCATCTGCTCCAGTCTCTATAACCACTCTGAACACAACAGAGCCTTTTCCGACGCTGACGTTTAATAAATGTCCAACCATATGCAGCAAAACTTGAAACGTTCTCTTTTCATCGCCCATCACCTGATTAGGCAAAGACGTCGGAACATCCGTAGAAAACCCAAAGCCCTTGTAAACGCACAAGCACTTAACAAGACAAGACGCCTCCCTGACCAGTAAATGCAACTGAAACGGCCTCATTTCTACTGGGAACCGTCCGTCATCTTTGGCCGATATCTCCATCGCATCATTTATTAACGTCGAGAGAACAGTGCTTGTTTTCACCATTGTCTCAACAATAATCTTCTGGTCAGCGCTTGATTTCTCATCTTGAAATATGGAGAGCAAACCCAAAATTGAGTGCATCGGCCGCCTCATCCCATTGTTCATCACCTTCTGAAACGAAGCTCTCGCCTGGCTTGCCTTCATAGCGTTCTCTTTAGCCTTCTGCAGCACACGATTCCTCATTTCTAATTTCTCCCTCATTGTCTGAGACTCTTCGAGCACAGTGGCATGTGATAATGCCACGGCCACCTGATCAGCAACTACTTCCACTATCTCCATCTCATTATAGCTCCAGCCTCTACCATCAGCACTTGAAAGAACCAAAACTAAAATGGCGTAACGAGTGTCAACCAACTCCGGAGTCCCACCCTTGAAGTCCGAAGCACGAAGCAATGGCATCCGAATTGCTGCAACAGCACATGGTTCACCAGATCCTCCACTGCTCGAGACTGCAAGAACCGAATCTTGCCTCAGTATCCTTACCCCCTTGTTCTTTGTTATCTCTAACACATCCGGATCATTAATTGGGAGCGAACGATGAGATTCTGCTGCAGAACTAGGGCTTAACTCATGTGTCAAGTTCATTTGTGACCTACTTTCATTTGGCATCCAAACTGCACAATTCTGCAGCTTCAATGTTTTCGAAAGTTCAACCAGAGTAGTGTACAATATTGTGTGCTTATCAAGTGACTTCCTAATTTCTTGCGTCAACATACGGACGTGCATGCTTGCCTCAGTTTGTTTCTTCATAATACCAACCTCTTGATCTAGCTCTAAAACATTCTGTGCCAAGAACAATTCTCTTACCTTTATCTTAAGGAGAAGAGGGAACAGAGTCAAAAGGGTGATTGCAGTTGCACAAGAGACAAGGGCGGTAAGGATTTTGGCAACTGTTAGGGACAATATCAATTGGAATGAAGGATGAGGACCATAAGTCCATCCATTGAGCAAATGTGTCAATCCACAAAGCACTATAAACAACACGAATTCGACAAGAACCCATTTAAAAGGAAGATTGGAGCGGCTAATGAAGTAAAGCAACTCAAGAGGGATTGAAAAGTAAGCAACAGCAATAAAGAAGTCACTCACTTTTTGGCACTCTAAGATGGTGCTTATGCTCCAAAAACCATCTTCATCACAGCAACCAAAGAGTTCATTATCATTAGCTGAAACAGATATAATAACCAAAGAAATCAACAGTCCCAAACACAACCCTTTTAACATTCCCAACATCTTAATCCCTTGTCAGTCCATTCACAAAGCAATCTTGAACTGAATTAAGATGAGAGCAGAACAACCTGTAGACTAATGCCCAAGTTCCTAGAATAAGATCTCATTGGCTCTAACTCTCTACTATGTATTCTCAGATAACATAAGCCCCCAATATAAAATAATAAAAATGATCTGTCACATGTCTAGATCTAACCTACATACATGCCTAAAGATCTAGCATACCCTTTTGACCCAAGTCCCCAAATTTTCAATTAAATTAAAATTCATCAAACTATTCTTCTCACAGTTAAGTTCTTTCCTAGATTTTCTTCTGTACACTAAGCAAAAATGAAACCCCAGAAAAAAATAGAAAAAACTAGTAAAAGAGCAACAAAGTCCTAATCTTGAGCTAAAATCTGGAGAGAAAAAAATGATCTTGAAGAAAAAAAGCACCTTCCTGTGGAGATTTAAGCTCCACAGGAAATTCTTTGTATAACAGAAAAGTTGGTACTGTTTTCAAGAATCTTTAACCAATTTCCTCAATACAAGAAAACCCAAAAAAATCCTAAAAGGACCTTAATTGCATAGAAATGAAGCAGGAAGGTGAAAAGTAGGTAACTTTGATTTCAAAATGATACCAACAAAACAAAAGGACACAACCCCTCTTACCAAAATGCCACCTTTTGAAATGGGAAACACTTTGTCAAAGCCAACAAGTTAGTTAAAACTACAACACACAAAATCAAGAAAACCCAAAATATTGAGCCCCTTATTACTATTTGAGCTAAGACTAAAACCCAATTACTAATTAGATTCTTTGACTCATTGTTGAAGAAAAAAGACACCACCTTTACCCCTTTTTCATTGAGGAAAATTGGTCTACTCGTTTTGAAGAAAAAAGAATGAGTAAAGCAAGATCAAGAAAAGAGGAAAATTCCAATAAATTTCTTTTATTTATTTATTTTCATATTTATATTATTTTTATGGGTCCACAAAGCTTACATGAAGAGAACCTAGACGTTCTCAATCCATGTCACTGTCTGTCAATCACAACAAGGCTCTAAAATAAGGTAACCTCAAAAGTGCTTTTTGCAAAATCACATTTTTTTATGTGCAGTTCTTTTCTGAAGTTATCTCCTATTTTTTGGGTGTATATGTACAGTTATGTGGACACCATAATGGGGTTAATCTGACGGTTTTAGTTTAATGAACTATTTGTCTAGCAATTTGAGTCTAAAAATCGTATGCAATGACGTCGCAATCTTGACCGTTAAGGCAGTATATTGTGGCCTGTGACGGTTGATCACTTTTGCCTCATTATTTTTGAGCTATCAACGTCCAAAATTTATTGGTCGGATTAATTTGATTTCGCCAATAAATAGGTCAGTTAAAGAGTAAGTGGGCATTTGAAATTATGTTCCAACATTCATTTCATTTGAAAAAATATTACAGTTTTGTGAGTAGAAAAAAAAAATTAAATGTTTGAAAAAAGTGGTTTGAAAACACATTTTGATAATTTTTTTAAAAAAAACTTACAAAATCTTATGGACAAAAATTCCTTTTTTTAGAAAAAAAAAAATCGAAAATAATGAAAAAGTTTTTATGGACAAACGGGTCCTAAGTCGCTCCCTATCAAAAGTTCTATAATTCCATTGTTGAGCTAACCAATAATTTGATTAGTGAACTAATTCGTTGAGGTGACTCAATTTTTGGTAGCTCAAGTAGAAGTAAAGAAATTTTAGCATCTCGTTACACCCTTTTAGCTTAATGAATGAAGTAACTCAGTTGAATTAATTATGTTTTTGCCTCATTAAAATCATCTCAAATCATGCAATGATGATTGAGTGAGAGTGGATAGTGGATACTTCCACGTGAATTACACAAATAGGACCATTCCGCGCTGTTGTTGAACTTCTGTCCAATTTAAAAACGAAATCAAGAGGAGTAAGAAACGAAAATATATTATAGGGTTAATCACATTAAACACCCTTGTAATATCACTCAGTTTCGGATATACTTTTGTATATAAAATCAAACACTAGCCCCAAGAGTGATCAACTGACCATCCTTAATCGTAAAATTACACGATATGTTATATTAAATTTTAGTGGTATATAACATATATTGAACACCTTCCGGGCTTCGCCTTGCGCCACTTATAATATATAAGTCCTACACTTGCAATCACTATGAGTTTCGTACTAAGTTAAATTAAATATAATTAAAAGGCAATTGTAAATAAAAAGTTATGTATTTATTCTATGAAACTTAAAAGCGGATAAATATTTTTATTGAAAATCTTGTTCCTGCCTTTGATTAAAAAGAAAATAAATACCTTTAAAATATATTCTTTGAAACTTTTAGATAGAAAAATAACAAAAATTACATAATAAGAAAACCAAAATGTTTAGGTATTTGAAAAAATATTTTGTATCTTTTGAAACTCTTAAATATGATGATATTATTGTTATTGTTTCTAAAAATATATAAACTTCTTATATAATGGAAATTGTAATAACTAAATTTCGTTCCTGAAAAATAATAATCAAGACAGATCATATAGAGACAAATATTATATTTGATTCAAGTGATGGGGTTACAATCTCTAAAATATCTCAAATCTTAAGAGATGTAGTCCTCTAATTCTTCTCCTCACGAACGATGGTTGACGGATTTCAGATTTGTGGTGCGTCACGGACAATTTAAAAGTCGTCACGAACCAGGATTTGTTGTTGGGTTATCACGAAAGGAAAATTTGAAGCGGCCCACCTATGATTTGAGTTCGCGTTTGGGATTTGACCACAGACGAATGGAGATCTTGATGTTATTCTTCAGATCTTCTTTAGCCTTTACTTCTGCTTATTGATCCTCTAGCCTTGTCCTTTGACCCCTTTTATATAGGTGTGCGGTGGAATGGCCTCCAAGAAAACCCCAGTGACTATTGGACTTGAGACTCATGGGTTGATCCATTTGATAGAAGGCCAACTAAAGGGCAAGTCCAATAGTATAAATCTTTTATTTAAATCAATTTGATTAGGTTTAAATAATTAACCCAGTTTGGACTAATATATGTTTATTGAGATAAAATCCAAATTTCTGATGGATTTAAATTTAATAAAATTTTAATTACGTACAGAAATCTTACATAAATGAAACTCCACATAAATAAGTAAATTTAAGACAAATTTGAAACATAAGTAAATTGTATAATTGAGCTAAATCACATAGAAAAGTCGAAGGAGGAGGAGGCGTTGAGTCAATATTTTCATGATTTTTAAAAATGATGACAAAAACTAACCGACAGCCTGTGAATTTCGCTACTAATAACGTTACTTTATGTATACTACTATATATCTGTCACGGCCCTAAAATCGACCCGGTCGTGATGGCGCCTATCGTGATACTATGCCAGCCGACACAATTCCCGAATTCAACTAGTATTGAATAAAATTCATTTCTTTCTTTCTTTTTTTTTGGCCATTAATTAATCAATAACCTCATAGTGTAAGTCTAAATGAACAGTGCGGAATAAATACACAAGCCCGACATCGGGGTGTCACAAGTGACGAGCATCTACTAAGGTCTGAATACAACTAAAATGTCAAAAAAATGTACTAAATATAGTCTAAGGAAGACAAGAGGGAGAAAAGCAGTGCTGCGAACGTCGGGCAGCTACCTTGCTAACTCCAATGACTCTGCCACTGAGCAATCAACACCCACTACCGGGTTCAGAAATACCTGAATCTGCACACAAGGTGCAGGGAGTAATGTGAGTACGCCAACTCAGCAAGTAATAAAAGTAAATGAAAGCTGAGCAGTAAGAAAATATGTAAGCCACGTCATAACGCTACAGCAAATACAGTACATTTCCAATACAGTACAGAAATCATTTATTTCGTAAATCAAACTCAGTTTCAATAAAAACCCTTTCCTTTTTAAAACATCTTCCAATGGTTTCAAACGAGTGATAAAAACAGTGAGTAAAAATGATAGAAACGTAAACAGCCCCTCGGGCAAAACATGTACCATAAACCACCCCTCGGGCATAATATCAACAGAACCAGCCCCTTGGGCTACCTCACAATTACTCGTAATCAGCCCCTCGGGCATAACATGAATCAAGAACCGTCCCTCGGGCAACATATATCAAGAACAGCCCCTCGGGCTTCAATATGAAACAACAACAGCCCCTCGGGCTACAACATATCACTCACACTGGGTACCCGCGCTCATTGGGGGTGTACAGACTCCAGGAGGGGCCCCTTACGGCCCAAGCGCAATAACAAGCCATCTCGTGGCATAATCAAACAGGCTCTCGGCCTCATATCAATCACAAGCCACCTCGTGGCATAATAATTCAGGCCCTCGGCCTCTCATATATCACAAATCGGTACCACATGTTGCGGCGTGCAGTCCGATCCCATGATATCTTCACAACTCAGGCCCTTGGCCTCACTCAGTCAGATCTCACTCAAGCCACTCGGGCAACAGTAAAACAAGTACTCGGCTCAAAATCATTTATGAATTCAAAAGGAGTGAATAAAATCGAGTTATGAAAACAGTAAGAACATAGCATGACTGAGTGTAAACATTAAACAAAAATAGTAGTAAAAGCCCCTAAGGGTCCAAACAATCGGCACAAGGCCCATACACAGCATTTAGCCCCAAACACAATAATATTTTCCAAAATATAACAATATCAAATAGTTTTCAAGTAAATACGCGACTTAACAGTCGTACGGGATGGACCAAGTCACAATCCCGAATGGTGCACGACCCCACGCCCGTCACCTAGCATGTGCGTCACCTCAAAATAGCACAACGATGTAAAATCTGGGGTTTCATACCCTTAGGACAATATTTACAATTATTACTTACCTCTATCCGGTCCAACTCTAGCCCGCGATGCCCTTTCCTCTCGAATCGGCCTCCGGATGCTCCAAATCTATTCAAAACAGATTTATACCATCAAAAAATGCTAAGGGAACAAAGCCCACTCGAAAATAACCAATTTACATCAAGAATCTCGAATTTGACCAAACCCGACCCCCGGTCCCACGTCTCGGATTCCGATAAAATTTACAAAACTAGAATCCTTACACTCTCACAAGTTCATACATATCAAATACATCAAAATCCGACCACAAATGACCCCTCAAATTCCTAGATTTAGGTCTCCAATTTCCAAGCCTTAGTTTTCTTCAATTTCAACCACTAATTTCCATAAATTACAAGCCTAGTCCGTGAAATAACACCATAGAAACAAGTTTTATGTTCAAAAATCTTACCTCAATGAAACCTTCTTGAATTCCCTCTTCAAATTGGCTCTCCCAAGCTCTATCCTGTATGAAAATTGATGAAAAATAGCTCAAAATCGCGAAGGCCTTAATTTATATGATCTGCCCCAGCAAAACCGCTACTGCGGTATAAAATCTCGCACCTGCGGACCCAGGTGCTCTTCTGTGCAAGTCACTTAAGCGCTCCAGACCGCACCTGCGATCAAACTCCCGCACCTGCGCTATCGCAGGTGCGCTCAATCTTCCACATCTGCGGTTCCAGCGCCTCTTGCCCATTTTCCACATTTGCGACCCTAATTGCGCTTCTGCGGGCCCGCACCTACGGTCCCCAAGCCGCAGGTGCGGTTATGACAGCAATAGGAAAACTTCAGCTGCCAAACCCAACTCAGAATCTTCCGTCAACCATCTGAAATCACCCCGAGGCTCCCGGGACCTTAACCAAAAGCACAAACAAGTCATATACCACTATCCACACTTACACCAATCTTCAAAACACTTCGAACAACATCAAATCAACCAAATCACATCGGATTCAAGCCTAAGGTTCCAAAAACTTCCGAATTCCGCTTTTGATCAAAAAGTCTACCAAACCTTGTCCGAATGATCTGAAATTTTGCACACACGTCACATTTGACACAACAAAC